ATGTAAGAATGTTAACACTGTTATAATCTTTTTTTAGTATAATACTTGTGTGGGTAGAAGTGAATCATTTACTGCTTGCAAACCAATGATGGTAAGATGATGTCATGGGGTAGGACTGGATAAGTCTGACTTCTTCCTACTCCATTCAAGCATGTACTAGGTATAAGCAAATTGATATTGGATTATGTGTAAAATTATGTGTGTTGTCATATCAACTGTTTTTACATGCTTGAAAGAATAAATCAAATCAATCAAAATCAATCAATCAAATGTTGACATTTGGCACGTGTTTTACGCCAGATGCCCTTCCTGACGCAACCCTGATTCGAACCCGGGGCGCCGTGGCGAGAGCGCTGCACCTTAACCACTAGCCTACCAGGGACGGCTACTAGCCTACCAGGGACAGCTTAAAAAACTGTTTATACTGCCTCTTATTATCTGTCCATCTATGGCTAAGTATTTAGTAGTCATCATCATAAACATATTGAAATGTGCTTATAAATACTGTTGTATTCATGGCCATTGTTTACTATGGGCATTAACTAATGACAAGACTGCTGATTGGTTGTTCAGAGAGGTTCAAAGTGTTTATTTGTCATATGCACAGTTAGGAAACGTGTTTCCCTGTACAATGAAATTCTTACTTTGCTGTCCACATGAATGCCACAAAATACAAATGAAATGTAAAGTAGATAAATAAGTAACACAATATCTAAGGCACTTTAAGTAGCAACAAATGCAGCAGTTGTGAGGCAGTTTTTTTAAAAGGCCAATAATGTACCAGTTTTTTTCCATTTCTTTCATCTTGCTTTTCTACCACACTTTATCCAGAACATCAAGTCCTCCATGTCAGCAGAGCAGACCAAGGGTTTCTGTCATGTTGTGGTGTCTTCGAACCTCAGAGATGGAATCTCCCATCTCATCCAGTCAGCTGGCCTGGGAGGAATGAAGCACAATACAGTCCTAATGGCCTGGCCTGGGACCTGGAAGCAGTCCAGTGACCCACAGTCATGTAGGAATTTCATAGGTACAGAGCTGGAGACGGTCCTGACTAAACAGGAGTAGATACTGTATAAGTATGGCAATACAAAATCAGAAGAACATTATGGAAGCTACATCAGAATTGACTAGTCAGTGACAGTGGAAGTCATGATAATCCATCTTATCCATCCAAAAGCACATCTACTTGTAAAGTCAGTCCAATGAGATGATATAAACACATTCCTTCCTTTATCCAACCAGAAACAGTGCGGGAGACCACAGCAGCACATCAGGCCTTACTGGTGGCTAAGAATGTGGACACTTTCCCCACCAACCAGGACCACCTTGGTGAGGGCACCATTGATGTGTGGTGGGTGGTTCATGATGGAGGCCTGCTGATGCTGCTGCCCTTCCTGCTGCGACAGCACAAGGTGTGTGTGTGTGTGTGTGTGTGTGTGTGTATGTGTGTATGTGTCTGCGTGTGTGTTCGGGTTGTAGTTCTGTCTGAAACATCTTAAACCACTACAAATCAGGTTTATATTTTTATTTCTATCCTAATACTCATAACCAGAATCCCTTTTGATACATTCTCTCTCTCTTACACTGTCTTTCTGTTTCCTGTCCCCCTCCCATTGATCCCGCTGCAAATCACTATTCCAGCGATCTAGCCCTGACCGATTGACTGACTGTTTTTGTCTTCACCTCCTTCTATGATAGTTTAATATCTGTGTCTGTCCTCCCACTAGGTGTGGAGGAAATGTCATATGCGCATCTTCACTGTGGCCCAAATGGATGACAATAGCATCCAAATGAAGAAAGACCTCCAGATGTTCCTTTACCACCTGCGACTGGATGCAGAGGTGGAAGTTGTAGAAATGGTGAGAGCCTGTTTTTGTATGTGGAGATTAAACAATTTTGCCAAAGACAGAAAAATATTAAAATAATGGCATTGCCTGTGATTTACAGTAGCTTGCTACTCTGTGCAGATTTGAGCAGTGCTTGAGAAACCTGTACATTTGGTTGGATTTCTTTCAGTACAACTCCAAGAAGTTTTTTAAGTCAACTCAGTTTTATTTGCATATCACAAATTTCCCTCAAGGGGCTTTACTGTCTGTACACCATACAATGCCCTCTGTACTTAGAACCCTGGATCCTTTAAGGGAAAACTCCTCCAACAAAACCCTTAAATGGAAAAAATGGAAGAAACCTCAGGAGAGCAACAGAGGAAGGATCCTCTGTCATGTACAGGATAAATCATCATAATAGATTTACAGTAAACAAAATAGATTTACAATTGGGATAACAAAATGTGTATATTGTAAATATAAATGGAGAACGTGATCCAGGTGAACAAGTCAACTTCCAGGTCCAATAAAGATCCAACAGACCTGGTATGAGGACAGACTGCATGACCACAATACCAAAGCACATCATTTTGTACATATAGTGGAAGAAAACAAATACACATTAGAGAGAGAAAGACCAAAGGGAATGAACAGCAAATAAAATGAGGGGGAGGGGGTCAAATAATAGGCCGGGTCTCCTGAAGGACAAAGATCCAGATCTACTGTATGAGGTACCGACTGCAAGAGAAGAAGAAGGTCCCAGGATGGCTGATGGTTCAGTACAGAGAACCTGAGTGAGGGATAGAGGAGGGAGGAGTAGAGAGAGGAAGCCACACACTTGATGCTCGGGGGGACAAACAGACAGGGTTAGAAAGATGCATTGGTCTTCAAAAATTTGCAGCAAACCCATCGGCAGGACACCACAGAATATACCATGCTGTACATATTGGATTTAACAAATGTAGTACACTCAGACTGAGAGCACCCAGCAGGAGAACTGTAGCAAACATGAGGAAAGAAGTCATCAAGACTGTGCCACTAGTTAAAGGTTACACCATACAGATAAGTTTTAAATTTGGATTTAATTGCCTCAAGAGTCTAATGTCAGCAGGGAGGTTATTCCAGAGGAAGGGGACACGACAGATTGCAGCCCTCTGGGAACACACAGCAGCCCTGCATTCTGTAACTGGAGAGCATGGAGCAGAATGTAAGGTTTAAGGAGACCAGAGAGCCATGAAGTGGCTTGCACATTTTGGATTTTGTCTGTCATTTGAAGTACTTTAAAGTCTGATTTGACATGGATAGGGAGCCATTGGAGGGGTGCTAGTATTGGTGTGATGTGGTTGGATTTTATGGATTTAGCAAAAATTCTAGCTGCAGTATACTGAGCCAGGCTTTGAATATATAGTAGGCCTGAGAAGGAAACTTTGATATAATCAGGTCTAGATGACACAAAAGTTAGACTTAGGATCTCTGCATCTGCCAGAGATAGAAAATATCAAATTTGAGGTCCCTTCTAGCTAAGAATTGTACAGATTAATTGAGTTTGATGTTTCTGTCCCTGTTTTTGCAGCATGATAAGGATATCTCAGCCTTCACCTATGAGAAGACACTGATGATGGAGCAGAGGTCTCAGATGGTAAAACAAATGCGTCTGTCTAGGACTGAGAGAGAGAGAGAGGTAATGCATCCTTTTTTTAGTTGAACACAATGCTGCACTAACAGTCCTTTCATCCCCAGCTATCTGTAGATATATTCCAATTGAATGCAAGTAATTTTTTTTTATGTTGGCTCATAAACATCTTCAAGAAGATGGAATTTATTGTTACTTAGTGTTTGCATTTTGTTTAGCATTGTGTATCTGTATCTGCACAAATATGATTATCCTGTAAATATATACTTATTGTACAGCATGTAAAACAAACTAATTAGGTTGTTTTCATAAATAATAGACTACATAGCTGAATGACAACAGTATTTTAGTAACATCTGGCCAGCCGCTGTGTTATATGGCAATATTTTTCAATTGGCCCCTTTCCCTGTTCATCTGCCACTGCCTTTCCTGGCCATGCCACACTGCTCAGATTCAGAGCATCACTGATGAATTGCATAGCTCAATTCGAAGGAAGAACCGAGATACCGCCCAATGCATGAGCCTCAGCCAGCAGTCCTCACCGCTGGAGGACAGTCAGGAAGATGAGGTAGCCAGTTTTGTCAATCCACCATCTCTCACTATTAGACACACTGGCCTGTCTTCACAAAGCTGGATCTTTGGCTTACTTGTTTACTTTCATCTACATTATGGTTTGTTATATGGACCTGGAAAATCTGATTGTTTTCCTATTAAACCCAATGTCAACCATAGATGTGCAAGCTGTCAGTGTTAAATTGTGATCTCATTATTCTCATCAGTGTGGAGTACAGTATAATGAATACACAGATGGGAGAGGAGGGCGGAGCAATAGTAATAGCATAATAGTATAGTAGTGAATTAGCAGTGCCATAGGAAAAGATTCGTTTAACCATGTCACACCATTGTCCCTACCATGAATCTCTTACAGTCATATTTCCACAACATGTCTATACTGTTGCATTAAAGGCCATAGCTCAACTCAAACATGTTATGTTCCCTGTATAATCTGTTATACTTGTGTACCTTTTCAGTTGTGGGCTTTGTTTGAAAAGTGCCATTACAGTGCCTATAAAAAGTATTCACCCCTTGGATGTTTTACCCTTTTATTGATTTTATAAATCAATCATGGTCAATATAATTTGGCTTTTTTGACAACAAAAAAATTACAAAAAACTCTTTGTCAAAGTCAAAACAGGTTTCTACAAAATAATGTCAATTACATAAAAATATGCTATGGGAAATAAGTGATTGCATAAATATTCACCCCTTTTAAAATTCAACAGAGGTCCAGCCCATTGGTGCTAGTAGTCTCACAATTAGTGAAATGAGGATCACCAGAGTGCAGTGAATGTGTCTCAGGTGATTGTAGTATAAAGACACCTGTGTCTGGAAGGTCAAACACTGGTTAATCAGTATTCCTGGCTACCATTATACCATGAAGACAAAAGAACACTGTTGAAAAAAACTATTAAATCTTGACTAGAGTTCACCAAAAGGCATGTGGACTCCATGGTCAGGTAGAAGAAAGTTCTTTGTTCTGATGAGACCAAAATAGTGCTTTTTGGCCATCAAACAGGACGCTATGTTTGGATGACACCAAATGCTGAACATCACCACCAACACACCATCCCCACTGTGAACCATGGTGGCGGCAGCATCATGCTGTGGGGATGCTTCTCGGCAGCCAGTCTTGAAAGGCTGAGGTAAAATTATAGAATGAGGTATAATACAGGAAATTCCTGGAGGACAATCTTATTCAGTTTGCAAGAGAACTACAGCTTGGGAGAAGATTTATTTTCCAGCAAGACAATGACCTGAAGCATACAGTGAAAGTTGCACAAAAATGGTTTGAAAACAGCAAGGTGAGTGTTCTGGAGTGGTCGAGTCAAAGCCCAGACCTCAATCCAGTAGAGAATTTGTGGCTGGACATTAAAAGGGCTGTTCACACCCGATCCCTGCATAACCAGTTTTTTTTTTTTTGTCAAAAAAGCCAAATTATATTGACCATGATTGATTTTGTAAGTTTTGATTCTTATAGACTCTAGTTACTTTGTAAACTTTTGTTACTTTTCATACCTTTTATTTTCCTTGCTTATACATTTTAAAATTGTATTGATGACAGCTGTACTGTACTGAGTGAAACTTTGGAACTGCATGCTGTAAATTCTGTAGAGACAGGATGCCTGTATCTCCAAGTAGCCAGACAGCCTATTTTACATTTTAACAAAGACCTGTTGGCCTGTTTTGCACCCACACCTAAACCCACTTAGCATATTCCAAGTTCTGCTTTGTCATGGGGTGTCCTACAGAGACAGGGGGCCTACAACCTGAGACGACCACCTGGCCAGTTTAGCATACTTTTTAGCATCACACACACAGGGGGCCTGCAACCCAGACCACCCACTGTTCACTGTTCATTGATCAAGATCAAGCTGCCACCTGAAAAACACACTAACACACACCTGGTTTAGATCACATTTCAGCAAGCAGGCGCAGACAGGGGTTGACCTACTCATGCCAAATGGCCAATAGGATTATGAAGTGTTGAATGTTGTACCTCTGTCCAAGGCGGGCCTTCCTCAAGGAGATAAATTCAATGAAAACATGTAACTCGGGGTTCAGAGAATGGATCTCCTGCAGGAACTCTGTCTCTCTGACCCCAGCACTGTAAGACTTCACCTGTGCCCAGACTTTGAGTAAACTTCCTGTTGATTTTAAACAGTCCTCTCCAGTCTTCACTTCTCGTGCTTCCAACAAAAGAATTGGGCAAATTCTAACAATTTATAAAATCAATACAAGGATAAAACATCCAAGGGAGTGAATACTGTTTACAGCACTGTAGTTCCTGTTGTACAGCTTTATGAACAGCCCAAAAAGAGAAGCTGGTTTGAATCACAGATAGCACTGACCTTGTACGTCTAAGTTTACTAGGTACTGATAAGTGCTGACTGGCCTAACAGTAGTGCTGCTTACTCTATAGTCACTGAGAGCTACTTTGTGAATAGCAGCTGTCATACCCGGGGACTGCAGCCCGATCTCCCCCATGTTCATGATCCTACCTCACCCCCAGTCCCTAATAAAGTGAGCGGAAAGAGCGGACAGTATTCTCTGACAACTGTGTGACGTGCAGTTATAATCTTCAGAACTGTCTTGTTGCTGTCGAACTCATGTCAGGTGCTTAAAGCAGGTTAAAACAGTCTGAGTATAATGTGTCTTAAATGGCCCCAGCACAGAGATAACAACATGGCCTTAAGGGGTTAACAGCACAAAAGGTCACGTTAGAGAATTGCATTTTCTGAAGAAAATGCGTATGGATGCTGAGTGCTGAAAGATCGCCCTGAAAATGCTGAACATTTTGACACCTGAATGGTTTTGCTAGCTGAAAATATGCTGAAGTAGGAGTTTTCCATTCATTTGACTGGGGCAAAACTTTCAAAATAAAGCTAAATATTTTAAAAGTATGAAGTTTAGAAAAATTGTGAATAGAAGCATGAATGTCCTTAAAAAGCTGAACATTTTGATACCTGAAATAGCTGAAAGTATGCTGAAAGTAGAATTTTCCCATTCATTTGAATGGGGCAAGATTTTCAAAATAAAGCTAAATATTGCAAAAGTATGAAGTTTAGAAAAATTCTATATAGAAGCGTGAATGTCCTTGAGGAGCTGAACATTTTGATAGCTGAAATTATGCTGAAGTAGAATTTTCCCATTCATCTGAATTGGGCAAAACTTTCAAAATAAAGCTAAATATTTCAAAAGTATGAAGTTTAGACAAATCCTGAAGAGAAGCATGAATGTCGTTGAAGAGCTGAACATTTTGATAGCTGAAATAGCTGAAAGTATGCTGGAGTAGAATTTTCCCATGATTTTGAATGGGTACATTTTTCAAAATGAAGCTAAACATTTCAGAATTGTGAAGTGTAGAAAATTTCTGAGTTGAAGCATGAATGTCCTGGCAGAGCTGAACATTTTGATACCCGAAATAGGTAAAGGTATGCTGAAGTAGAAGTTTCCCATTCATTTGAATGAGGCAAGAGTTTCAACATAAAGCTCAACATTTCAAAAAGTGTGAAGTTTAGAAAACTTCTGGATAGAAGCATGAATGTCCTTGAAGAGCTGCACATTTTCATATTTGAAATAGCTGAAAGTATGCTGAAGTAGAATTTCCCCCATTCATTTGAATGGGGCAAGATTTTCAAAATAAAGCTAAATATTTGAAAAGTATGAAGTTTAGAAACATTCTAAATGGAGGCACGAATGTCCTTGAAGAGCTGAACATTTTAATAGCTGAAACACCTGAAAGTATGCAGAAGGAAAAAATTTCCCCCATTCATTTGAATGGGGCAAAACTTTCAAAATAAAGCTAAATATATCAAAAGTATGAAGTTTAGAAAAATCGTGAACAGAAGCATGAATGTCTTTGAAGAGCTGAACATTTTTATACCTGAAATAGCTGAAAGTATGCTGAAGTAGAATTTTCCCATTCATTTGAATGGGGCAAGATTTTCAAAATAAAGCTAAATATTTCAAGAGTATGAAGTTTTGAAAAATTCTGAAGGAAGCATGAATGTCCTTGAAAAGCTGAACATTTTGATAGCTGAAATTATGCTGAAGTAGAATTTTCCCATTCATTTGAATGGGGCAAAATTTTCAAAATAAAGCTAAATATTTGAAAAGTATGAAGTTTAGAAACATTCTAAATGGAGGCATGAATGTCCTTGAAGAGCTGAACATTTTGATAGCTGAAATTATGCTCAAGTAGAATTTTGCCCATTGATTTGAATGGGGCAAGATTTTCAAAATAAATCTAAATATTTCAAAAGTGTGAAGTTCAGGCAAATATTGAATAAGAGCATTAATGTCCTTGAAGACTTCAACATTATGATAGCTGAAAGTATGCTGAAGCAGAATTTCCCCATTCATATGAATGGGGCAAGATTTTCAAAATAAAGCTAAACATTTCAAAAGTATAAAGTTTAGAAATATTTTGAAGAGAATTACAAATGATAATACAAGCTCAGACCAAAATTCTTCTGCTGAGAAATGAGATGAAAATACTCAGTAATGTACACAATTAAGCAATGGATGTATGAATGACAAAATACTAAATAACTGCTATGCATGAATTGTGTGCAGTATGAATGTATAAAAAATATGATGTCCAAGTCCATTCTCCTTTGATCATTTCAGTTCCTTGCAATTTCACTCTGTCACCTCCTTGACACCGTCTGCTTTCTTCCATCCTCACCGACTGCAATGTCTCTCTCTCTCTCGACTGCTCTAAGCATGACTGACCTCAGCACCTCTGACTTGCACTCCTTCCTCATGAGGGTCAAATAGATAAGAAGACAGCTGGGTCATAACCAGTATTGTCATCAGGGGGAGCATGAGCTCGAACTCCCTCCTCATCCAAGGAATCCCTTGGATCATATCTTCTCCTTTTCGAACCAAGATCAGCTCCCAGCCGTCCCTGTCCTCAGGATCTTTCACACCATGTACGGGCCTCCTCCGTGAGGGGGCCTCACCTCCTCCTGGGCACTGTCACGTACACAATATCTCCTACTCTCACCCTGGACTCTCCATCCTCCTGGGCCTCTCTTTCCTGCAAAGAGAAAACACAAACAACACAGGCCACACAGGAGCAAATACTTCTGCGCATAGTATTGACTAGTCTAACATAAAATCTCATTTCCCTTATCAGGATGTCAAAACTGGTATTAACATTACAAAATAGCACTCTATA